CAACAATCTTTGAGCAGATTTTTGACAGGTGGAGCAGTTTTGATTTTCAAACACTTGTACCGGGTAGTATTGCAGTACTGTAGAGTAGACTAAATGTCCAACCTGGTTTCATGAATAGTGTTTTCCCTTCTCCTCAGTGTCAGATCCGAAGGCGGAGTACATCGGCACCGAGCCTTGGACACCGAAGGAAGCTCTGGAGGGCGGAGAGATCACGGACAAGGCGGACATCTTTGCATACGGGCTGACGCTGTGGGAGATGATGTCGCTGGCCATGCCTCACCTGGAGCTGCTGGAGGGTGAGGACGACGAAAAAGAAGTAGAGGAAGATGAAGGTGAGACAGACGCTCTGTGGCCTCAGGAAGCATGACTTTCACACTTTGTCAACACAAATTCCCTCAGGAGCCACATTTTAGTACATTTTAGACTTGTTTTTCTGAAATATTTTGGTGTTCCCATGCATATTAGATACACATTGTAGCTTATTGGAAACAAATACTTCATAGCTGTTATTAAATATATGATAATCACATTTTTATGGCATACTACTTAGTATTTCTGTTGGCATAAACTGTGACTTTTAAAGACAATTGTAGGTTTAGTGGTACAAATCTGTCGGGAGCTGAGCTGCACTAATATCTTCTTTATACTATGTCATTAGTAGTTTGAAAATATAGTCACAATATGTCAAGTAACATTTCAAATTCAGAACATCCAGTCTCTAAAACATCTTCAAATTATACACATTTTGGTTAAGGTTATCAAAAATTGTGGAAAGTCTGTGGATAAAAAGCTTCTTATGGTTGATTTTGTTTTTACATTTAATGCCGCTACATTGTAATCTCTAACCTTCAAATTATACAGTCACATTTTGCTTAAAGGTGGGGTAGGTAATTCACTTCAGAAACACTTTTTTATATTCCATGGAATGCTCTTAACATCCCGATAGCAATGAATACATTAAATGCTTTGACAATAAATACACTAAAAAAAATGTCATCTGTGGAAGCCGTGGCGCTGTAAAAAGCACGACCAATCATCTGAGCCGGCCCGGCTAAAATAACTGGATGGCCTACCTGCCTGTCAGCCTTCCATCTGTGCACAAACTTATCTCGTGCCCTCATTGGTCATGTGCGCGTTCGTGTGTGTTGGAGGAGGGGCTCTGTAAGGAAGTCTGAAGGAAGGGGTATATTTTATCCGGTTGTGTATTTTCAAATTCTAGCGCACTCGAGCTGGTTTCTCCATTCTTACCTACCCTACCTTTAACGTTATCCAAAATTGGAAACGTCTGTCGATAAAATGGTTGATTTTTTTTGGACATTTTAGGCCGCTACATTCAGACCAGTTGCGTTTGTGTTTCAGACCAATCGTTGGAGGTCAGTTTCGACGAGGACGCGTACTACGATAGGTTGGGCACGCGGCCGGCGGTGGACCTCGAGGCTCTCGGCAACTCGTACCGGAGGATGGTGGAGCTCTTCTACCTGTGCACTGAGGGAGACCCCGTGAGAAGACCCTCAGCCGCACAGATCCTCCAGGCTTTAGAGAGCAACGTCCCGCTGAATATAAACCCCAGCGAGGTCATCGTCATCGACTAGATCTGCAAGTTAGTTATCTAGTTTAGGATCCAGACTATTATTTAAAGGCTGGTTTAAGATGTATTGCGAATTTCTCTTATTTACTATCCAGAAAATGTAAATGTTTCAGATCTGGACCAAATGTAGAAAAACACCAGGCGCTAAATGGTTGATTTTGGCGTGAAAAACAAATCTTTATACTGAGTGTAAATGTTTCTACTTACTGTTTGTGTTATATTTGTTTCTGCACTTCTGTAAACATTCATGTCTCGATCAAACTCTTGAGCTATCCTGTGTTTATCTTCTTTGTATGTTGCGCTTATGTATTATCGGCTATAATAGAATTAAAGAAATATAGAATGAAGTTGTTTTTGTATTGTTATTTGAGCTAAGCTGCAAGCTATGTGCTTGTATTTTAGGTATTAAAATCATGCTTAGCAATTTATTTCAAATGGGAAGTATTAGGAACTCTAAAGAAAACAGTGGTTATTATTTGATGCTAAAACGAGATTATTTTGAGGTTTTGTTGTTGTATGTTATATTCCAACCCAGTCTCACGGCATTTCGTGTTATAGTCACGAAATTAATCTATTGATTCGTGTTCACCAACACGATTTCCCCTTTTTTTTCGTGTCACACAGAACAATTTTATTAGAAGGAAAAAAATACAGATTTCAGTATTCTGACAGAACGGTTTTAGAAGCAATGTATTTCTATTGGTGGTATGTTTCGTGCCTGCACCAAATAACCTTTTTTTTTTAAAATATAGATTTCAGTATTCTGAGGGTCTGAGCCCCATTTATTTTCCTCGCGGCCGGCATTATACAATATAAATAAAAACAATAATCGTGGCTTGATATTGAGTAAGAAAATGTTTTTATGAACCACACAGCTTCCGGTCTTCCAAGACCCGACCAGACAAAAGAGGTTTCTCAATAGTCTAATTTCCCCTCCTCGACTCCTATCCTCGATACTTAGTGCCGCCCACAGGAGATGCGAGCGGAGGGGAACCGAGGAGAGAGGAGGGGAAGCAGCAGGCGGTTAGAGAACTCCTTTCCCCTGAGCGGTCATTTTAAATAGACATCCATTAATGATGACAGGAGGCACAGCAGCCCTCTGTCTGATGGACAGATGTGTTCATGACCGTCAGGCCGTGGGAAGTAGGGGTGCTGAGGGTGCTGCAGCACCCCCTGGTGGAGGACAGGGGATCTGCACTTTCACAATACAAAAAAAACGAATTTTCAGCCTTGATGTAACAACATTCATAATTAAGTAAAGATAACACCCTTTTCACCCCGGTTACATTTTCCATTTGCCCTGTACGATGGGCGCTGTAAGTGATGAAAGTGGGGGATGTTGGCTTAGCAGGCGCCCGCAGCCAAAGTGAGAGAGATAGAGAGAGGGGATACCGCG